ATTTTTATGCTAGTGAGAACCAAAACAATATGGAAATGAATGAGGGAAAACTGGATCCTACCACGTGATTTCCCGGCCAATAAAAATGTAGCGTTAAACGTTTAACGCAACCTTGTTGGAAGTCGCATAAGAAGTATAACTTCAAAATAGAAATGATTTACCAGCACAAGTTAAAGAAAGAGAAAAAAACAAGTTAAAGAAAGACACAGGACAAGAAAAATTTACATATTCTCCCCAAAATACTAAGAATATGGATTAGAATCGCAATATACTTTAAATATATATAGTAGCATTGCAATGTATATCAAAAGTGGTTATTACGGAAAATCCAAATCCAATATGATTGATTGAATTGAGCTCTTATGGTCTTTTGTTACAAAACAAAAAGGAAAAAATAAAAAATTACGAAACTGAAATGATTTACCCGCACAAGTTTGTGTTTGCTGCGTAAGCTACATAAGCAGAAAAAAAAATGTACCATTTCTCCCCGAAATATCCAGAATGAACATAGCAATTGCTCGTCATTTCAAGTTTAATCGTTTGGACATGAGGATGGCAAGGAAACGGGAAAAGAAAGTGCAAGCTTAGCTTTTCCAAACTTCCACCCCGGTTACTTTGCAAGCCTAGACTTACAGAAAATGGGAAATTTTCTTGCTCTATGAAAGATATATTTATAGAGGCGAAAGCTGATATTATTCTTCGATTCCCATTTTATAAGAAGTATCGGAGGACGCACGAAAAGATTTTATGCGTATATAAATAAAGGTTTTATTTTCTGGTCTTGTAGAGAAGGAAAAAAAAAAGAAGAAAAAAAGAAAAATCAGAAATTCATGGGAAAAAGCTTTAAAGTGGGTGGTGAAAGAATGGTGTTGGTACCAGAATTATGGCTTTCGGGCTCTGTCTGTACAAGCTTGATAAAAAATAGGGCTATATTTATTATTTCTCTTCCGTGATGTTATGAGTTTAAGATTTTTTTTTTCATCAAAAAACCGGTGTATTTTTAGTGAGTTTTCACCCTCCCCCGTTCTCTGAAATGGCGGAGTCGTCATAAATTATTGGGTGTAAAAATGATTTCGACGAAAAGGGATTTTTACGGCATGCTCACTTTTTGCGACTATGTTTTTAAAGCACTCGGGAGACGTTGGAAGCTGGGATTATTTTATTTTTATCCGAAAGAAATTGCGTGGGTGATGAAATTACAACGGAAGTGTATAATAAAGAAAATTTACCTTTGGTATCGGAAAAAGATAACTGATGGTGCCATGTTATACAACAATTGTGTGATATTTTGTTTTTGAAGCTGATATTAGATAACATCGATTGATTTGTCCCAAACATATTTATCACAAAAATAAATATAAAAGGGAAAAATTCACTAGTTTCAAACGAAGTAGAAGACAAAAACGAAATGCAATTTTTAATCAAACTGGTAGTTTTGGAGGATGACTAGAATACATTCTTAATCATCTCAAAATCATATTTTCCTATAAAAAAAACTAAAACTATACACTGAATTATGAATTAAATTTTTTTTACAGGTTAACGAAACTTAAACTATTATTCCATTTTTGGAGATACTATTTAAGAAAATTTTTTAAGTTACTTGTGCCTCTCCTTGCAGTTTGTAATGGAATTTATAATTATAGAAATTAATCTAATTAGTCGTAAAATCAGAATTGTGAAGGGGATTGAGGGAACCCGGGTTCGCATCCCAGCGATGGCTGATGGACCCGAATTTCGCACTCGGCTCGAACTGATCACTAGAGCCCGGAAGTTCAGGCAAAATGCCATAAATGCCCTTTTCTGCTTTTTTTAAACGTTTTCTTCTGAAAATGCCTCTTTCTTTCCTTTTGTTCATAAATGCCTATTTCTGTCAAATTTAAAATTTTTCTGCAAAGCTTTTTGTGCTTTTGACCGAACATAAACGCAAAATGAAGAAATTTTGAAGTACAGAAATGGTTGACTGTCATCCGACGTATTGTAATGCATTTATAGAGATTAGGACTTTATTCCTTTTGTCTTATTAATATTTTCTCTCCGTCTCTTCGTGGCGTCACCTTCGTCGTGGCGTCAGAAAACGTGGCGTCACCTTCGCCCGATGCGCTTTGCAAGGAGAGAGAGAAAGGGAGTGAAAAGATTGGAGTTATTTTTACTTACAGTCAATAGAATTTATTCTTACTTACGGCCCATATAGCCTACACCATCGAATAACTCGTATGCTCTCTTATCTACAAAACGAATTCACCAAGCTGGTTGAGCACATTGTAGCAGGAGCACGAAAAAGTTTTCTAGTATACTAGTTATTTCTAAAATGCCTAAAGTAAAAGCCTGCACAAGCAAAAAACTGGACAGTTTTGTGAAAGAATTTGGGTCGGATGTGTTTTCTACTGATGGGAGCATTCTGTTTTGTAAGGCATGCGAGAAGTCAGTAAATTTTGAGAAGAAGTATTTTATATCTCAGCACTTGGAGACATCTAAGCATAAAACAGCAAAAGATAAAAAAGATGGGAAAACACCGACTCTGATTCCCACCTGTTTTCAATTATCTTCTCGCAAATCGGAATTTGCAATGGATTTATGCAGATCATTTGTAGATGCCGGCATTCCGCTGTGGAAACTTGAAAATAAAAGTATACGAGCTTTTTTGCAAAAATATACGAATCAAAGTGTGCCCTGTGAATCAACTTTAAGGAAAACTTATTTAGATGACTGTTATACCGAAGTTCTTAAAACTATTCAAAATGAAATCGGAACGAAAAACATATGGCTATCTATAGATGAAACGACAGATGTAACTGGACGATATGTTGCGAATGTTATTGTTGGTGTTATGGACCCATTTGAAAAACATAAAATCTTTTTGTTGACATCTGAACAGTTGCAAAAGACTAACAGTACTACAATTGCACAGTTGTTCACTAATGCACTGGCTTTACTTTGGCCAAATGGTACTGAGCATGAAAGAGTGCTATTATTTCTTACAGATGCAGCCTCCTACATGAAAAAAGCTGGAAATGCCTTAAAAGTTTTATTTCCTAATATGATCCATCTAACGTGCCTTGCTCATGCATTGCACAGGATAGCAGAGGAAGTAAGAGGTCTCTATCCTGAGGTAGACTCGCTTGTTTCTAGTGTGAAAAAAGTATTTGTGAAAGCCCCTTCAAGAGTTCAAGTGTTCAAAGAAATTGCACCAGACATTCAATTACCTCCTAAACCGATCCTTACGAGATGGGGAACATGGATTTCAGCAGTCTCATACTACTGCACAAATTTTGAGGAAGTTACTCGAGTCCTTACCAGCTTTTCGGATGAAGAGGCAATATCCATAAGAAAAAGTAAAAATCTGCTTAGCAGTTCTAAAATTAAAAATGAACTGACTTTTATTTCAACTTATTTTGGGAAGCTCCCTGGAGCTATTGAACACATGGAAAAAAGAAATATGTCTTTGTCCGAGTCACTAAAGATTTTCGACAATACTATTGAAGAACTAATGTCTGTGCCTGGACCATCTGGTGACATAATAAGGAAGAAATGTGAAAACGTCATCTCTGCAAATACAGACTTTGAATGCATCAAGGACATTGCAAAAGTACTTTCTGGTGATACTACAGTTGAACTTACCATATCTCCTACCATGGCAAGTTGTTTTAGGTACGCGCCCATAACTTCTGTCGAAGTAGAAAGATCCTTCTCTTTGTTTAAAACTATATTGACTGACAGGAGACAAAATTTCTCTTTCGAAAATTTGAAAAAGCATCTAGTTGTGATGTGCAACAACAACCAATCATCAGAATAAATCTGCATACAATATTATTGTAAGTACGAGTTTTCAATTTTTATTTCGCACCTACGCAGTTGAGGTTTTTTTTTTGTGCAATTATGTCCACTTCTTTTGTACTATTGCTACGACAGTCGAGTGAAATGAATATGTAGGTATACCGGATACTTCTAGCAACTTTTTTTATACCTTGGATACCTATATGGGCTTTTAGGCATTACCAACTACCATTTTGCTCCAATTTTAAGTGCCTTTTTTAAGTGCCTATTTCAAGCTTTTTAAATGCCTTTTTGCCTGCCTATTTTTGCATTTTTTATTGCCTGAAATTCCGGGCTTTACTGATCACACTTCGATGCAAAATATCCTCAGTGGTAGACGAATCATGGATGAGAGTCCCCTTGCTGTCAGGCTAGTCGTGGAGGATTTTCGTGGTTTTCCTCTCCATTTAACTCAAATTCCGGTTAATTCATCTAAAAAGCCTTCAATGAAGGCAAATTTCTCCCAATACTTGATCCAGGAGTTCCCTTGTCTTCTGAATTGCGTTCAAAATTACAAGGCTACAGAGTTGAACTTTGATAGTTGCAAATTCAGAATTGGGTTAGCTGTTCAACGCCTTTTGTAAAATATAATATATATGCATAAGGAGTCGGAGTGGCTCAACGGATAGAGGGTCCGCCTTCCAATGAGGGGACACAGGTTCGATTCCCAATGGTGACTGATTGATATTCTGCTCCCGACTCACACTGACCACGGTGCTGACGTAAAATATCATCAGCTGTAGATGGATCATGGAGTAGAGTCCTCTTGCCTTCAGGCTAACCGTGGGAGGTTTTCGTGGATTTCCTCTCCATGTAACGAAAATGTGAGTAGGTTCCATCAAAAAGTCCTCGACGAAGATAAATTTTCTCTCGCTATTTGATTCAGGCGTTTCCTTGGCTTATAGATATGGTTCAAAATTATAAGGCTTCACAGTTGAACTTTGATGGACGTAAACTCAGAATTGGGTCAGTAGTTCAAAGCTGGTTATGAAACAAAATATAAAATTAAGAAATAAATATGACTAAGATAAATTCTTTTTTCATCAGGAAAACTAAGTGCAGTTAATATTTAAAAATTAAAACATATAAAAGTTTGTGTTTCAGGAATGCGACTACGTTTTTTAATTTCTAAGGGTTCATAGAAGCTAAGATACCTTTATTTATATCCGAAATACATTTTATTGATGATATTGCAACAGATGTGGGCAGTGAAAAAGTTTGATATGTCACTTGTGAGAAAATTTAATTAAGGAGAATAATTAGGTAATTCAGGTAATTACGGAATAATAATTAGAAAAAAAACACTTAAATTATTACAAGCATTTTCTTATTCACTATAATTATAAATAGAATAATAATTTATCTTTTTTTCTCCTATGGTAATAAAACTATTTTTTACTTCAAGTGATCTCTTACATAAAAATGCAACCATTAGAACAAAAGTGATTTCTCAATTTTCTTTTTTTTTTAAAAATTTTAATGATGTAAAGAATAAGAGCACAAGTTTTTATTTTGCTGTAAGTAGTGTTCAATATTACAATGTGTGGTAGATGTGTTGTGTTTGTGATTTTTGAATTGGTTTTCAACTTGGAGTTATTTTTTGCTCTTAACTATATGCATAATAAATATACGAAACATTCTGAATAACTTTTGTTCTAATGATCGGATCTTTGCGCACTAGGAATCAATTTTATTGGTTCTGCCTTAAGTGATCTTAAGGCCTAAAGAGGATTTTACCTTAAATATGCTACTTGGTTAGGGCAGACGGCATTTTAAGTTACTAAATGAGACCCAAAAACAGACTTTCTCTGAGTAAATATGAATTTTTTTTTGGCAAATTTGGATTACTGACCCTCAAAAGATAGGGGGTAACCGCAATTTGGGAAGTATGGTCAATAGTTTGGTCAGGAGAGTGGTCCAATGTTTGGACTCCTTTATGTTAATATTACTATTTTTAGTTTCTCTTATTTTGCCATATATCGAGTTGTCTTATAGTGGACTGGAATTTTTTTTATACACAATTATAAAATTCGCTTATCCAAAGGTATATCCAAGCAAAATTATTATAATATCTTTTTTATTATTATTTTTTACTATTTTATTTAATGGTAGTTGAAAAATTTAATTGTGAGGTACAACATTTTGCTCATAATTTTGAAGAATGCATTTCTGTAAGGAAAAGTACAAACTTTGAATGAAATCGATCGAATAATTCCTTTGAAATTGAATTTTAAATGCAAAACTTCTTTAAATTAGATTTCTCAGAAACTATTCAACCGATTTCGTTCAAACTTTGTATTATGCCATATAAAATCACATTCTTTAAAATAATGTAAATGTTTGTCCCTTAAAACTCAAAATAAACCATTAAAATTCAAAATTTTTTTGATTATTTTTAAATAAATTAATAAAAAAATAATAAATGATAAATAAAAACTTTTTATGTATGAAATTATCATGGGATAAGTGAATTTTGCAATTGCGCTCAAAAAGTTCTTGATGTTTGGCGAAATACACAAAAAGTAAAACTTACCTTAAGGGGTCCAATTTGGGACCGCTCTTCCTGACCAAATTATAGGGACCATATTAACCAGATTGCGGCTATCCCCTGTATTTTGACGGTCAAAAATACAAATCTGTTAAAAAAGGGTATCTTATTTTGAGAAACTGTTTATTCTGTGTCTGATTCTGTAACTTAAAATACCATCTGTACGTACTAATGAACATATTTCAGGTCATCCTCTCAAACCATTAAGATTGAGTTCTTGTGCTTGAAGATCCGATCATTGGATCAAAAGTTATGTATGGTGTTTCATTAATTTCTTTTGAATAAGAGCCTACTAATTTATGAATGTAATTGTAAGGATAAATTGCTTTTTTTCGGTCTGTAAAACAATATTATTTCGATAACCTAGAAAGTGTTCTCAAGAACTTAAATTTTATTTCATTCTACCAAGTGTTAGTTTGTATATGTTTGAAATAAAATGCTTCAAAAATGTCTAAACAACAGCAAGAAAACCTTTTTTCTAAGAAAAATAAACAAGCTACTTTAACACTTATTGATCATGCATAAAAAATAGCAGCAATTGAAAAACAGGAGCTGGTGCAATTGAAACGAGTTTTTTTTTCTACCGTTAATTTACCAGTTTCTTCTTTAAATCTCTTTTATCTCATCAGATGTAATAGCTAGACATTTCCCTAATTGCATTCACATCAAAAAGTGATTTCGACTTGTGTTTTTGTCGTGTGATGACCCAGGTGTTGCCAACTTTAATGATTCGTTTATTTGCGATTGTAAAACTTCGATAATTTGGTTTATTTTGTTGATTCCGTTTATTTCGTTGTTTTGGTTATTTTTGTTGTTTTCGATTAAGTTTAGATGCGTTTTTTATGGAAAGTGGCAACGTAACTTGAAACTAAAATAAATATACCAAAGAAATATCTTTTCAAAGTGCTCAAAAAGCGCTTTAAGTTTTTTACTGAAAATTTAAACATTTTTGAAGGATAGTCTTAATGTTTGTTTGCAGACTTTAAAACCTAAATTTTACAGAAGAAAATCGCTTAAGAATTCAAAACTATTTGTGCGATAAATCAATTCTTTTTCGTAACAAAGGGTCTTGAAGTTAGAGGATAGGATAATTTTTTGCAAATTTCGAAAGTGAGAAAAAGAGTAAATTAATTGTCACAAAATTTAGCTTTGAAAGTGACTTGATGTTTTATAATTTGGTGTGATAAAAGCGTATCTAAAAGTGAACAGTTTTGAAGTCATGATGGTTTACGAATACATCTTTAATTATCGTCCACACTAGTTTATTTAATATTGCCCCCAAAACTATTAAGATCCAATCTTAATACACCATAATCAGATCTCTAGATCAGAATTTATTAAGGTGTTTGCCCATTGTACATCTCGTATATGTCACGTAAACAGTGACAGGTATTTCTCAATTTGTCTTAAAACTTAAAACTTTTAGCTTCTAAATTGTTGATATTCTTATATCTTTCGATAACCTGTACTGATTTAATTAGGTTTTCTCAATTGTGTTACGATAAGAATGTTGTAAGATTAAAAAAATAAATAAAATGTTCCAAAAGAAAGAATCAAAACATATTCTTACATACTTACATCTTCTTGTCAGCTTATTGAAAATAAGTATCCTTACTCGTGACATAAAAGTAATATTTGATATGAAGTAATCAGATGTATTTAAAAAACTTAGCACAGTATTTGCAGTTACAATCATAAAGATAAATAAAGTTTAACCTTTCAAGCTTTCTTCAGCGAAACTGTGAAAGCTTGTTTAAACACTCTAATCTATGTAGATTTAAGTTGGGCATCACATGCAATATGTTAAGTAATTGAAACTTTTTAAACAGTGCAACATAAACTTATTAATTGCCACAATTTATGATTGATTGATTTCACAGTTTTCTTTTATATCAGCAAAATATTGCTGTTGATCGATTTTAAAAAATAGTTCCATGTTTAATTTCATTAAATTAAGTTTAAGTTCAAATTTAAGCAAACTAAGTTTAAGCAAAAATAGTTCAAAAACTTTGCTAATTATAAGTTATGATTACTTTTGTATGCAAGCAAATAATAATGACATATGCATACCAAAGTAACACGGTAACAACTAAGCATTTTTAAAATTGGATTGTAAATTTATGAGTAGAAATATATAAATTAATGTCAGTGAAAAGTAAATAGTCAATTCTGTAACATATTATTTAAATGATAGTAGTAAAGTAGCATTAGTAATATTAAAATTTTGAATAATAGAAATTACCAATTTAAATAAATCTTTGCTTACGTGCGATTATTATCACCCATTAAAAATGCTCACAATCTATTTTCATATAATGGATTTGTAATTTCTGATATGTAAACTCCCTCGAAGTGTGTAGAAAAATATTTATTATTTCAGTTAAACCGAATTGTGGTTCTGTTATAAATTTGTATTTTTAATTTAAGCAAAATAGTACCTTGTGTGAATTATGTCGTATAATATATTTCATAAATGTTATGAGTTACCAAATCACTCCCTATTCGGTAAACGCGTTTCTAATTAAAAATACAAATTGCTTTTCACGCTCGCATCTGTGACAAATGAGCATTTGCTTTCAGAGTATAGCCGTGATATAATAGAAAAGGGTTATTGCTGTTCCTTCAGTCGATTCATTGCGGTTCTACCTCGTCATAACGAAGACGCTTAAAATCTCTAATAACAATAGGAGGGGACTCAGTTGAAATATAAGCTCTTCGCAGAGACCGTTGTCTATTTAACCACCATCGTACATTATCG